GAAGAAGGACGGCGAGGCTGCCCGGAAGGAGAACGGAAGAAGGACGGAGAGGCTGCGTGGAAGGAGAATGTAGGTTAAGGGTGGTCAGGCCTCTGCAAGTCCGCTCTGAGGTTTCCCACCTCTTCTTCCAGCTGCCCTTATGTTGCTCCTTGGGGTGTATTAGTAGGGGCAGTAGCTATGTCCCCCACCTCCTTTTTAAAAAGATTTTATTTATTTGAGAGAGAGAGAGAGTGCAAGCACGAGCAGGGGGAGGGGCAGAGGGAGAGGCAGACTCCCCACTGAGGAGGGACCCTGACCCAGGGCTCGATCCTGGGATCCTGGGATCATGGCCTGAGCCAAAGGCAGCCGCTTAACCGACTGAGCCACCCAGGTGCTCCTGTGTTCCCCACCTCTTTCCCTTTAAATCCTTAGGACCTTTAAAATGTCCAGCTGGTACCTCTTAGACCCCAAATTTTGAAGTATTAGAATTTGGTAAGTTAAATCCACAGGTTATTTAAAAGTTTCTCCCTGGGGCGCCTGGGTGGCTCAGTCGTTAAGCGTCTGCCTTCAGCTCAGGTCATGATCCCAGGTCCTGGGATCGAGCCCCGCATGGGGCTCCCTGCTCAGCGGGAAGCCTGCTTCTCCCTCTCCCACTCCCCGTGCTTGTGTTCCCTCTCTTGCTGTCTCTCTCTCTCTGTCAAAAAAATTAATAAAATCTTTAAAAAAAAAGTTTCTCCCTAGGTTAATTAAAAGTTTTCCCTGTCTCCCTCCCTCTATCCATCTCCCCCATCTCTCACCCCAGGCACCAGTTCTCCCACACATGCACACGTGCACCGCCCCCCCCCCCAACAGTTTGCTCACTGCAGTGTTGGAGAACCTGATACTCTGGGTAGGAAGTGATACCAGTCATCTACACGGAAAGCTTGAGAAAATGTGTTTTTCCAGACTCTGGCCCAATTTTGCTTTCCGTGCAGAAGAATTTCCTTTCATGTAGGCATTGGTTATTCATTGGTTATTTATTGTTCATTTTGATTAATGATTTAAAAGTTTGGAGTTCGAAAGCTGGACAAGCATTCATTTGCATTGGACGTAAAATGGTGAGAATGTAGAGAGCACCCATACTTTGAAGAAACATTATTCTCCTTTCTGTGAGCAAGGGGGCATCTGTGTAGAGAGGCCCCTACCTAATTCTGCAGGCCTCCCAAGTGGGCCATCCGTCCCCACAGTGAGCAGCTGCTAGTGACTTGAGATAGGACTGGTCCGGGCAGTGTTCCATTTCTCCTTCAGAGGCGTCTTGTGGTATCAAAACCTAACACTTGAAACAGATGGAAACTGGACCTCGGGTTTCAGATCTTGTTCAAAGGACAGGAGTAGCAGACTTGAAAAGTGTCAGATTTAGAAGACCTGTAATTAGTTAAATGGTTGAGGGGAAGGATGAAGGGAAAGTATTGCTATATAATGAAGATGGAAAAAATAGTGATTTTCTTCTATATTTATCCTTGGTAAAAGGCACTTGTAACACATACACAAACCTTAATATATATGTTTATATACGTCATGGTATTTTGGCCAAGTCATCTGACATATAGGGTCTTGGCAATTTGAGAATCAAGTGGGACTGGATATGCAAATTTGCAGCTCCAATTGGAATATTCGGGCCAGGAAATTAGCAGTTAATTCAAAGTTAACTAGATGCTCATAATTATTGAAAATATTTGTAAGATGCATAAATACACTTTTCTTTCATCATAAATACATAATAGCATGAATAAGGTTTCTTTGGTGACTTAATGTTATTTTTTGTGGCTTTTGGACAGCACCTTGAAAGCCAGTTACGCTGGTCTGGTGCCTTTGATTGAGGGTTAGCATTTGACTGAAGCTTTATAGGAGAAATCTGGCAATAACTTAAAATGACACATCAAAACCAAGGGGAACTTGAGTATTGCAGGAAAATGTGGTTTATTGAAGTAAGCTATTGTTTGATTTCAGAACTTTATTGTTTTATGTCTCTGTATGAAAGTTATTTCTCTTCAGTAGTAGTGTTTCCCGCACTGTGACACACAAAGCATTATTTAACTGCATTGTTAATATGGATTCAACTATGACAGTTTATCTACTGCGGGACTTCTCAGAGCCTTTGACAGTACTAATATTCCCTGTGACCCTGTTAGAGGGAGATGTAGGACGTGATGTTTCCCAGGCTTATCACTTTGCCTGTCTCTCTCCCTTTTTTTTTCTTGATGAACTGTCTACCATGACATAGACTTTGGGAAATTACGCTCTTGTGTTTTCATATGTATTTGCTCATTTATAACATCACAGCAGTCCTAAGAGACAAACAGTTTTGGACGAGGGAGGAGCTAAGGCCCACCGGAGTTGAGGCTGGCCGTGGGACCCCGTCCTCTGAGGACTCATTCAGTCTTTTCTCTCTCCGTCCAGGCCTTCGGTGCAGGTAGGAGGCCCTCAGTCCTGTGTGGCAGGGCTCTCTGCTGCAGAGTAGGGGGTGATCCGGGTGATAGGCCCATCTGAAGTTTTTCTGTCCTGTCGTTCAGGTCCACAGGGCTCTCTGGTCTCGGGAGAGGCCTTTCTCAGGTCCAGCACGTTGACGATGAGGGTGAATTAGTTAGTTCTCATGTAGTTTCATTGAACTCAAGGTTTAGGCAGCTCCCCCAGGTAGGCTTTTAAGTAGAAAAGGTGCCCGGGTACTCAGTTGTGGTTTCCCTTCCATTTTGTTTCCTGATTTTTTGCCCCAGGGTACTATGTCATGTTTTGTTTTGTTTTTTATAGAAGGAAATTCAAGCCATGAGTCAGTGCAGCCATCCCAATGTAGTGACCTATTACACCTCTTTTGTGGTAAAAGATGAACTTTGGCTGGTCATGAAATTACTAAGTGGAGGTAAGTAGGTTTTGTTATTTGCTTGTTGTTGTTGTTGTTGTTATTTTTTCCTTTTGTGTGAGCCAGCATATTGACTTAAGACTTTAAATTTGGTCCCCTCCCTTTTGTATTTAGAAGTTTTGCTTGTTTATTATTTACCTAGACAATGAAGCCCAGATATCACTGCCTCGACTGTCTGTGCCTTCTCGGTGGAGGGGAGGCTCCCTAAGTATCTTCTGTGCTCACTCTGTCCTCCTACACCTCACCTGCGTGGCTCCTCAGCCCGAGAGGTCTGTCCTTCCTTCTCCAGGTGCTCAAGTCCGAACACCGCACATGCTCTCTGCAGCCTCCCCCACGCTCATCGGAAAAGTTAACCAGTCCTTCCTCTTTAAACCCTTTGTTTTTAATATTATTCAAGTCCTTACTACATTGCAGTATAACAAATTCTTCCAGTGCTGTTTGTTCAGAGTTCTGTGATGATGGACATGTTCTAGAGCTGTGCGCTCCAGTTTCTACTAGGCACATGTGGCCCTTGAATACTTGACTTGTGGCCTGTGTTCCTGAGGCACTGAATTTCTATTCAATTTTCATCAGCTTCTATTTAAATAACTGCAGATGGCCCGGCCGCGGCTGCGGTGTCAGACGGGGCAGATGTAGATTAGATTCCGCTTGCTGAGGAGTGCACGGTCTCCTGTCCTTCTCATTTACTGAACCTGGCACCCAGTGGGAGCTCAATAAATATTGCTTCAGTTGAATGGAGAAGAGCTTTCTGCATGCTAACTTACTGACTTGGGTTGATCCGAAGTGGCACTATTTTCATCCTATGTTTGCATTTGAAAAGGCAGAGGAACTTTCCCTCTGGCCTCAGGTCACGAAATTTACAAAAGCCACTGACAGTTTACCTTACAAGGCACTTTCACATTCCCATATTTTTCCTTTTAATCTTTTACCATCACTATTTGATAGAGAATGGTAATGAGAACCATTAACTTTATGGAACACTTACTCTCTAGCTAGATCCTATTCAAGGCAATTTACTTGAATCTGGACAGCATCTTTGAATGGCAGGTGTCACCGTCCCTGCTTTTCAGAAAGTTCCCCGAAGCTCTCAGGAGAGTTAGGCAGCTCGCCCAAGGTCACCTACACAGTAGTTGTTAGTGCTGGAAAGAAGTGGCGCTGGGACCTGTTGACTTAAAAGCTACGAGATGCCGCAAGAATTATCACCTTCATTTTACAGACAGGGAAATGGAAGTTTAGAAAGCCCAAGTGATTTTCTTTGTAACACCCAGCATCTCTCACTCCTGTATCTTTCCCAGATGAAGTATGAAGTATGGTTTAGGAGCAGAGGAGAACATTTTGAGGTGCCTGGATGAAGCCCAAACTGGCACCGCAGATTTTATATTGTAGAGCCCGTTTTAATCTGCAGACCTAGTTCCAGTGAAGGCTGACTTGTGGGGGCGGTGGGGGGGCAATCTTAATTTCTTTCCTTTTTTTTTTAAGAAACTCTTGGATCCAGCAGAGGCCCAGAACCGAGAGGACAAATATGCCGTAATTGCCTTGGGTCTGCTTGTGCAGGTCTCAGTGGGGAGCCTGGGAGAGCGGAGTCCGGTTCTGTTCCCAGTCTTGTCAATCCTATTAGTCATTGTTTCCATGAGGGCCTACTTTGGTTTTTAATTAAACATGAAAAGAAAGAAATGAAAGAAAAAAGAAAAAGGCAGCTTGCTGGAGCCAGACTGCAGTGTTGAAGGGTCGGGACTGCCCCTGGGCTCTGGAAGACCTGTGCTTTGGCAGAAAGATGACCTTCACCGAGCCTCTTCTTGCTTGGTTCCCCCAGCTCTGAGGAGACTGAGAAATTCTGGTGACTTGGGACCCTGGGCAGCCCCAAATACTTGGCTCAGGCTGAGGATTTTACTTCCTGTCTTTATTTTGATCCCAGTTAACCTTTTTTTTTTTTTTTTTTTAAAGATCCTATTTATTAGGATCTTCGATAGAGAGAGACACAGCAAGAGAGGGAACACAAGCAGGGGGAGCGGGAGAGGGAGAAGCAGGCCTCCCGCCGAGCAGGGAGCCCGATGCGGGGCTCGATCCCAGGACCCCGGGATCACGACCCGAGCTGAAGGCAGATGCTCAACCATCTGAGCCACCCAGGTGCCCCCCCAGTTAACCTTTTATAAGCTGGAAAATATCCCCAATCCCCTTGCCTGAGGACTTGAAAGAAAATGTCATTGTCTTTTTATAAGAATTCAATTTAGTGAGTCTCCCCGGGCTTTAGGTAAGAAGAACAGGTTGTAAACGGGTTTCCGCAGGTTTATGTGAGTTCTTGCTCCTTTTTCTTTCAGCAGGCCAGGAATGCACACATGCTGGGTAGGGTGTGTCCTCGTAAGATGAAAATGAAACATTTTTGGAAGTCATTTTCTAGGTTATTAACAAATTTAAGAATCAGTGAATGAATAGATGTTTCTCTGAGGGGGGAAATATGCATTTTTTTTAATAATATTTTATCCCATTAAATCTCTTAATGAGGGGCGGGCAGCTAGTCTGGTGTAGTAATACCTGGTGGGGAAACTCAATTGTCCCAGTTAATCATAGAGAGCCTGGAGCCAGATTCAGATCCTGAGGTAAGCCATTTGTTAACTCTTCAGAAATGTTGAACCCCCAGGTAATTATGGCTTTTAAAATGACCAGGAGGTTTGGAATATTAATTAATATGTGTTGAAACATGAACTCACAGTGCCAAGGATACGAATCTGTTTATGGTAACAAAGTACTGTGTATTTATTTCATTATGGAAGTCAGCACATTATGCATCAAGTGAATGAAAGTAAAGATTGCCGAGAGTCACAGAAAGGAAGCTTCTGGTTATAAGCAGGGGTCCAGTGGCAACATACTTCTTTTTTCTTCCTTCCCACCTGTGTTATAGATGTCCAGGAAGATCTGCGCTTCTCTCTCTCATCAGTTCACAGCTGTCTGTTTCCCTGGCCTCTTCCTCCTTTGGTTTTTCATTTCAAACATTTTGAACCCTGTTTTGAGCCTGTAACCAGTTGTGTATGTGTAGGAGAAAGGCATTAGCCCTGAGGTGACCCTGAACAATCCTGTGGTCCCTGACCCGGAATTCTTCTCACGCCGGAAGTGCTCTCGCAGACTTGGATATAGGGTTTCTGGTCCTGTGCCGCCATGCAATTGTATGCCTTGGAGGGGGGGATTGTGTTAAATAAACCAACATATTTTGACATTTCCACTTTCCTAAATAGCAGAGCCCAACCTAGAAAGGTACTGAAGATGCTTACACAAAGTTTTCACTTCTTCTGTCTAGGTTCAATGTTGGATATCATAAAATACATTGTCAACCGAGGGGAACACAAAAATGGAGTTCTGGAAGAGGCAATAATAGCAACAATTCTTAAAGAGGTTTTGGAAGGCTTAGACTATCTGCACAGAAATGGTCAGATACACAGGTAGGATTTCTGCAAAGATATTTAAATTCAGCCATTTGTATCTTTAGCTCTGGCTTGTAAAGAATATTAAGGAAACACATGTTGCAGGTAGGCATCAACATTATTTCTGAGCTAGGCCGAATAGATGTGGAAAAAGTACTTAAGAAAGAAGCAAGTGAATACGTTCGGATGAAATATATTAGTATCCGCAGGATTGGCTTATCTGCTCTCACTGAAATAGAAGCAGAACATAAAAAGTACTGAGTGAACTCATTAAAAAAATCAGTTAACATGCTCTTCTTGAAGTAGGCTCAGTTGAGCAGGATAGCATCTCTGCCTTTCTAATGTAGGCAGAACTGGTCCAGACATTGTAATATGTTCATTGCTTTTGGCATGGTGCTGTGAAGAAAGGGGGAACTAATTTCATCTTCTTTTGTGACATGAAATACTCATTCTTTCAGTAGCCAAACAGCCTAAAATATGAGTGTTTGATGTTTCAAAAGGGTTCGTATTACTTGCGCCCTTAGGAATAGCTGCAAGCAGGGGCGCCTGCGTGGCTCAGTCGTTTAAGTGGCTGTCTTCGGCTCAGTTCATGGTCCCAGGGTCCTGGGATCGAGCCCCACCTCTGGCTCCCTGCTCAGCGGAGAACCTGCTTCTCCCTCTCCATCTACCTGTCACGATGCCTACTTGTGCTCTCTCTCTCTCTGTCAGATAAATAAATGAGATCTTAAAAAAAAAAAAAAAGGAATAGCTGCAAGTAAATAGCCATTTATTAGTAATACATTGTAATTCCCCTGCCTTGAGCTCTACGTGGCCTATATATTTAAGGATATTTGCCATGTGTTTCAGTAGTTAGAAAAAAAATATTACCTTAGATATCAAACTTGTAAATTGTCATTTTTCTTTTGAAGTGTTAAGACTTCTATATGGTGAAGAAATATATTACAGAATCTTGTAATTAGTATTTATAGTCAGCATCTCCCCAGAGGGGAGACTGATCCAATCCATTGTTTAAGAAGCCTCTGGGATTAATTTGGAATTGCACCCCAGACACATTTGAGTGGAAGTAGAACAGCTTTTACATAGAATTATTAGCTTTAATTCTCGATAAAATGATAGTATGGTGAGTCAATGGGCAACCTCTAATTCTATAACATAAAGAATGTACTCACTACTGATTTAATTCAGTTTGGATAATGATTCCATTTAAAATATTTGTTACTAAAATCCTAACCATCTCCCAGGAGCAAGCTATATAAAATCACAACTTATCCCTGTAACTTAAAAAATCTGTGATATAATTTTCATATTTATAAAATGTTAATTATGTTAAATAGCTACATTATGTGGTATGTTTTTAAATCTCTCTGAGTGAATTAATGCAATATAATATCTGTATTCCATAATTTATTTTCCTTTTTTTTTTTTTCTAACAGGGATTTGAAAGCTGGTAATATTCTTCTGGGTGAAGATGGTTCGGTACAAATAGCAGGTAAAGCTGATAAAAATTCTTTTGACAGAAATGTTACAGTTTCAAGGAATATCATTATTATCATTTCAAGGGATATCATTCATTATCTTTCCAAATAAATAATGAGTGAATGAATAAATGAACAAATGAATGAATGCCTGTAATCTGTTTTGAGAATGTATCTGGGCTGCCCTGTTCTAGAATGTTTGGGTCTGAGGCAGAATATTTTTCCTATTATTATTACTTTTTAAGATTTATTTGAGAGAGAGAGTGAGTGGTGGGGAGGGGCAGAGGGAGAGGAAGAGAGAAACTCAAGCAGACCCCCCACTGAGCGTGAGATCGTGACCTGAGCTGAAACCAAGATTTGGATGCTTTACCAACTGAGCCACCAAGGCACCCCCCTTTTTTCCCTATTATTTTGATAAATTTTTGTTAGATCATCCAATAAACAGTGCTATTTCAGAACATAGCCTTTTGATAAAGACAATTTTACTTTCAATTTTATTTTTTCTACCTTTCAGGTTGAATAAAGGTGGTGTTTATATGACTGCAAGAAAAGCACTTTTGAGAGTTTTTCTGATGAGTTTGAAAGTTTAAAACACTGTACCCTTCTATTAATTTAAGCCCTTGGATTTCTGAAGAGGTGGCTGAAAGCATTGTTAACCCTTAAAGTCTCTGGGTTATTTTGGTCTTACACCCACCCATGTGCCCGTGCCTGCCTGCTGATGGCAGTTGGCCTGCAGGTGCAGTGGGTGTCTGTAGAGGGAATGCACCAGACAGGTGGCCTCTGTGTGCAGAACTTGTGATTTTGTTATTGTACCGAGAGTAACTGGAAAGGCCTGGGATAAAATGTAGCCGTGTCTATATTGACTCTTGTTTCACCCCATGTCCAGGAAGGCCTGCCTCCACCATCCTCTCAGCCATCTCTGCTTTTTGGATTTTTGCCTGGACGGTTCTTCCTTGTCCTGCACTGTCCCAGTCACCGCAGGGCGCTCAGCCCTCTGGCTTCCAGGCACTGAATGTTACTAACAGCACGTCCTAGCAGCATCCTTGGCGTGCATCGCTCATGGGGCTCCTGTTGTGGAAGAGCACCGAAGCTCGCCCCAAATCTTTCATCAGCTTGGTCTGCTGCTTTTTGAGTTGGAGCGGAAGAGGCCTCTCTTCCAGTATTTAGGGTTTACGGCCTTTGCATATCAGGTTCTTAGAGCAGAGTTGATTACACTCCTTGGTTCTAGTTTTGTTTCTGGACAAATGCGAGGATCTGGGGTATTGTTAGAAATGCGAGAGCTCAGCAGAAAACAAACACACCCCCAACACAAAGGATAAGCCTTGAGTCATCTCTTTGATTCATTGTTTGTTCCTCTCTAGGTGCCAGAGAACCTGTCAGGTGATGCCTGGTCTGTATGACAGGCATAGTGCTGACCTTGGGCTCTGTATTTAGTTGGGTACATTCAAGGGGACTTTTATTTATTTCCTTTTAAAGGAGAGAAAAGGTGTTTTAAAAATATAGAAGGGAAACAATATATTTCAAATCAAATGTTTCTTCCCTGGAAAATTAATAGTGAAAGCGTTATCCTTTATTATTCCTCTCATTGAAGAGATACATTGAGTCAGATACAGTCATTGGCTTGAGACCACTGTGGAGGCACTCTGTGTATCAGTTAAACACAGAGGCCTTGGCATCAAACAGGCCTGGTTTCAGACTCATGGAGCAGAGTGGGGCAGGTTGTTGCATCTCTAAGCCTCAGTTTCCCCATCTGTGAGATGGTGATGATTGATAATGCCTATCATTCGAGAAGACACAGGTATCCTGTGCGCCTGTTGAAACTTAAGATTCAGGGTCCTGTAAGTGCTGTGCATTTCTGGGAGTCGCAGAATGTTTTAGGTGGAGAGGAGAAGCCAACCTGCAATCAGGAGGTATTTCTGTGTAGGCATTTTTGTTAAGTTGTCTAAAGCTATTTCAGAAGAAAGGAGCTTATTAATCCTTAGGACTCCAGTGAATCGGTAAGAATTTTTAAAGAAATAGACATATTCATACCTAACTTTGTATTTTTAATTTTGTATTGTCTGTTTTACAGACCCTTTACGGAGGGTTTTCCAAATTGTGTAAGCTTCATGTCCCATGAACCAACTGCTGATATGGTTGTTAAAATAAGTACATAAATGTGAGAAGTGCTTAGTACACCCAAAATGTGCAATAGGCAGGGATACACATTGTAAGCTTATTTGTTGGAGCACTGTCTGTGGTTGCAATAGGTTGGAAACAACGTAGGTGTCCCCGTTAAATATGGTAGATGGCCTGTCTGCGTTATGGGGGAGCCACCAGCTGTCAGGGAGAAGGAAAAGCCCACTGTTCATTGATGTGAAGGAAAAAATCTCCGGGCTCTGTGGTTAAATGAGTACAACAAGGTGAAATAGAATGTGTATGTCACCTTTTGGGAAAGAAATGGGGAGAAATAAGAATATCTCTATATATTTACACAAAGAAACATTAGAAGGATGAGGAGCGGGACGGTGTGGTGTGTACCCCTCTATAGCGTTTTGAACTTTGAACTGTGTAAAAGTATGACCTGGAGGGAAAATGACAGGAAATGACTTCATAAACTTCATAAACTGTCAATTAGTCGAAGTCATTTTTAAACAGTTTATTGTAAAAATTTTCATACGTAGCCTAAAGTAGAAAAGAGTAGGAGGAACCTCATGTACACCCACCACCTGGCATCAGTAATGATCATTGATTCATGCATCTTCCCCCTCTCTACTCTGGTGGCTTTTATTACTAACACTGAATTTTGTCCTTGAGCCATCTAAGTTAGTGCCTTATGTATACTTATCTTTTTTTTTTTTTTAAAGATTTTGTTTACTCATTTGACACAGAGAGTGAGCGAGCACAAGCAGGGGGAGCGGCAGGCAGAGGGAGAGGGAGAAGCAGACTTCCCGCAGAGCAGGGAGCCCGACGTGGGGCTCGATCCCAGGACCCTGGGATCATGACCTGAGCCGAAGGCAGACGCTTAACCGACTGAGCCACCCAGGGGTCCTAACATATCTTGTTCTTATGCTAGAGAGCGGCCCTTACCCCGCAGGCTAGGGGCATTTAGAAAAAAAAAATACTTAAACAAAACAAGTGACAACTGGAAACGTCTGTGGACAGAAGCTTCAAACTCTCCCACCTCTGAGTACTCAAGTTCAGGGTGCAGGGTCTTGGATGAACTGGCGTGGTGGGAATTCCCAGGTCACCACTCAAGCTCTGTGACCTTGGTCAGGCTACTCAACTTCTGTAAGACTCTGCTTCCTTAAAGAGGGATACAGGTATCTCCCCCTCATCTCTTGTTGTGGGACCAAATGCAGTTCTTCCCGTCCAGCGATGGTAAGTGGCTGGTGCACGGCGGGCAGACAACGGCCTCTGTGGTACTTGTGTTACTTGTCTTACTGCCGCCGCTGTGACTGCTTTCACTGCCACCCACAGGCTCACGCTGACCCTCCCCTGCACCGCCGGCAGGTCATATGTACCTCAAATTAGTCTTGCTAGGGGGTTCAGCTCTGAGGGGCTTGTGTGAGTTATAAAAAGCTAATGCTTATTAATTATGGAACTTGGAAGTTAACTTGTCATTAATCTTGTTCTAAGCTGATAAGGAAATACGACTGATTTTCTCTCTGGTGATGAAACGATCACTGCTAAGAGGGTCAAAATAGCAGTGAACTGCCTTTGAAATGCGAAGGCAGGTCAACCCTTGCCTTATTTTGCCACTTGGTGCTTTGCCAGTCACTTCATCTATTATTCTTGTCAGATTAATGACCTGAGCTCTTTCTCTAGGCCTTCTGTAGCACATCGGCCTTTTCTTTTCCTCCGTTGGGATCCCCTGAAGTAAGATTTCCTGAATTTCTCTCCCCCTCTTGGGCCTTGGGTATTTTCTCCTCACCGTGGGTGGTGGTGTTGCTTGCACCATGGGGGCTGCTGGGTTCAGAAGGGCACGTGGGGAAAGCCACCACCCGGGTTGTGGTGAGGATTAGATGGGTCCATGTGTGAAGTGCTAAGTCTGGAAGGCTTTGTGTACCGCCATTCTGGGCCCTCGCTGTCATCCCTTCTGAGTGTGTGACTTCCTTCGTGTGCCACACCATGGGCTGAAATGGCCGCTTCCCAGATGTATATGGGGGGCGGGTAATAGGCATTTATTTATTTTTATTTAGTTATTTTTTTTTTTTTTTGAGAGCGAGCCAACAAGTGCGAGCGGAGGTGGGGAGGGGCAGAGAGAGAGAGAAGAATCTTAAGCAGGCTCCACACCCAGCACATCAGTGTGGGGCTTGATGACCCTGAGATCCTGACCTGAGCTGAAATCAAGAGTTGGTCACTTAACCGACTGAGCCACCGAGGTGCCCTGGGTTAACAGGCATTTAAACTGTAGTTTCTGCATCTCTGGGGCTATGGCTTTCTAGAATTCATATTCAGTTTTTTCCATACTCTTTAACCTGAGCACAACATTGAATGCCTATGGTACTTATTATTATTATTTTGGTTTTAACTCTAAAATAAGGTTATTGCTTTGAGAAAACATTTGTAATGCTTCCTTGGAACAGACAGATGCTGATGCTGTGCCTGTTTTCTAGGAGTTTGACTCTGTTGGCCAGGCAGTTGGTAACTGCCTGAACAGGAACGGGGACAAAGAGTCTCTGGGTCTTTTGCTGCTATCTTTGTCCGGTGGGTGAAGTAGGGGGAGGTGGGTGGGAGGGTTGAAAGCTGCCCATTATATTTGGGTAGATAATAAATTGCTTTTGTTCAGGCTGTTTGTGGCCTTTCTCTTTACATCTTTATGTTCTTTAAGCCCTATTTTTTGAAATAAAATTTAAGCAGGGGATTTTTTTATTAGAAAAGGGGAAATTAAGGAACACCTGGGTGGCTCAGATGGTTAAGCATCTGCCTTTAGCTCAGGTCATGATCTCAGGGTCCTGGGATCGAGCCGCATGGCGGGCTCCCTGCTCAGCGGGGAGCCTGCTTCTCCCTCTCCCTCTGCCTGTGGTTCCGC